TCTCTGAACCTCCATTTCCCCACCTGTAACAGGAGGCCAAACACCCCACAGAATTGTCACAAAGATGAAAAACAACATGATGCCTGTGTGGCCGCGACTACCAATTCGGCTTTTCTCTTCTCCTTGTCCTCTCAGGGAGCCGTGCCTTGGCCCGACAGAGGCCAGGTTTAGGGGAAAAGGAAGCATGTCCTGAGTGCCCGGCCACAGGGTCAGGCCTTGGGCTGGCCGGCCACCACCACTCCCCACATGCAGCCAGCCTGCGTCAGTGGGCGTGGGAAAGAGACGTAAATGCGGACGGGCATTAAACACGAGTTAGACATGCCATTCCGCACCACCAACACATTTCAAAAGTGCGCATCACAAGGCTCTTGTTGAGGCCGTGGCGGCCGGCCAGGGCCAGGCCACAGAAGGAAGCTGCTTCCTGGCTGGAGCTGCTGGGCGGCCGGGCGTGGTCTGAGGCCACGTCACTGCAAATGCAGGCCTCTTCGGTGACTTCCTGTCCTCCCATCCATTTGCTCTCCTGTGAGCCCTGCTGCAATGCCCTGGCAATGCCCCAGCCAGCCAGAAAAGTCAGCTTTCACCTGCCCTGTGCCCATGTCACAGAAATGGAAGGTGTGTGATGTTCATGTAGGCCCTGCTGCAGCGGCCCCCAGCCCTCCGGGACCCTGTCTTGGCTTTTTCTACCCCTGGAGTATAAGGAAACAGTTCTCTTATCCACAGTTGGTAGAAACCCTATTTCGTCGGTATCACTGAGGTCTGAAAGGCAGCCATGGGCCCGGGAGGTGGCAGAAGGTCCGTGATGCAGCTGGAGGAAGTCAGGCCTCCTTCCCGGCAGACAGTCTGCAAATATTTATTGAGGGTCTGCTCTGTACCCAGGGCTGCGGGGCACACAGAGACGCCCTGTGTGAGACAAGGAGCTTATGTTCTGACTGGGAAGGCCAGACGGACACACAGGAAACCAGGGGGTCCTGTAGACCCTGAGCTCTGCTTCTGATGCACGATTGTGTGGCAGGGTATAGACCAAATGCCAAGATGCTGGTCTTAGGTCCGTGATCTGGTGCGGTCTCGGGATCTGCAGAAGATTGCACAAGTCACTCTTGTTTTGCCCAAGGACTTTGCTCCAGGCAGCACCCGAGTCCACACATGGTCTCTACCCCTTCTTTCCTCTCTCTGGTCTTTTTGTCTTGTATCTCTAGCTCCACTTAAGTTTAATCCTTCAGACTAAGACCATTAACATTCAGAAATTGTTCGCACTTATCAATCAGTCCTCAAAAATACCTTGCTAGGGAGGTCCTGCTGTTTTCCTTTTGCAGAGGGGAAAGCGGGCTGAATGTGATGAGTGGCACGCCCAGGACCACACAGAGGGTTCATCTGTCCTGTGTGGCCCCAAACTCTCAGGGTTCCCATAGGACGGGGTAGAACTGGCTTAGTGTGGAAAGATGCTGGCAGAGTCAGCTCTGTGCTCAGGTCCGCAAGAATGTCAGTCCATGGAAGCAGGGTCCTCTCAATATCACATAAACAGACTGACTCCTAAGAAGTGAAAAGAAATGGAACGAAATTCACAATTCCTATATGCCTACACCCCTGACATGGGCACCTATTTGGATACTTATATATGCTTTTGCATGCATAGAAATATTGTGCCTCGAGTAGTGGGACAGTAGAACGTGCTTTTTAATTTATTTTTATTTTTTATTTGGAGACAGGGTCTCACCCTGTCCCCAGGCTGGAGTGCAGTGGTGTGATCACAGCTCACTATAGCCTTGATCTTCTGGGCTCATGCTAGCCTCCTGTCTCAGGCTTCTGAATAGCTAGGACTGCAGGTGTGTGCCACCATATCTGGCTAATTTTGTTGTTGTTGTAGAGATGATTCTTGCTACATTGTTCAGGGTGGTCTCTAACTCCTGGGCTCAAGCAATCCCCCTACCTTGGCCTCCCAACACTGGGATTACAGGTGCAAGCCACTGCCTGGCCTGGTTTTTGAAAAATCTTGAGCCATCGAACTCTCATTGGCTGGACTATGTGACTGACATTTGCACCCGGGACTAGTCTAACTCCTTCAGGGCTCTTTTAGTTCTACTCAGCCCATTCACATTCTTGCTCTGTACGAAACAACGTCTGTGGTTGGAATCTGAGAAAGTCCAGTGTACAGCATGTCTCTTCCTCACCTGGATTCTGAACCACTGAGGCAGGTCGAGAAAGCCTCTGGATTGACAATGGAAAGTGAGCATCCTCACCAGCAAAGCTGTTGGTGGAGAATGCAGCTTAGCTAGGGGGCAACTGTGGAAATCAAAATACCGAACTTCTGATCAGACAGATTTACCTCCCAACCAGGCTTTGCGGAACCATGGCAGTCTTCCCCAGGTGGGGGCCGACCCTGCGTTTGGGGAGCAGGGAAGAATGCAGGTATCCCGCAGGCTGCCGGAGCCCAGACACAAGAACTTCTCAGTGGCTTCTTCTGATCTCATCCAATCCGGGAAGAGTGCAGGGTGGGTAGAGGTCAGGGCTGTTTAGCCGGTAAAGCCCCTTGCCCAGCAGTGCAAACCATGCCACAGCCACACAAACGGCGGAGCCACGTCCGTCAGCACACACCCCTCACGCCCATGGAACCCAACTCAGCTGTCTCCAAGACCTACCATGAGCTCAGGGGTTGAAGGTCAATTTGTTGGAAGCTGCCTGGGGTTGTTCACTGCACAGGTGTGAAAGGGTGGAGAGAGGACCTTGAGAATCTATTGCAACATTTTCCTGCACGAAGAGGCCGAGTAACGTGGTCAGTAACGGCATGGTGATTAAATCCTGGGTTCAAGTCCTGACTTTTTTTCTAATTTCCTTATGTATAAAATGAAGATAATAATTATACTTATTTTTTTTTTAACATGAACTTAATGAAATAATTTCCAACAAAGGCCCCAGCACAGTCCCTGGCACATAGTAACCGCTTAATGAGTCTTTGCTTATCATGCCCAGTGGAATGCCTTGTGCTGACACATCACACTTCAAGCACCTGCCTCTCCATCTTCTTATGTGTACCATGGCAACGTGGTCAGCTCATGTCTAACCCTGAGCACGGTGCTGGACACGCAGTAGCTGTGTGAATTCATTCCACCAGCAAGTGCCCTCCTGACTCAAAGCGGAGCTCTTTGTATTATACTAAGGGACTGAGTGTTAGGACTAGGGATGAGAGCAGGGGAGAATGTGAAGTCGCTGCTCAGTCATGGTGGGAGCCTTGGAGGAAGAGAAACTTAGTTCTAGCTGGTCAGTGACAGGCATGAGAGGGAGATGGAGGCAGCCGAAGAAACACTTCTCTGCTTTTCTACTTTTTTCCACGCAGAGGGAACTTCCAGGACCCAGGACCAGCCCCTGAGCTGGTCCTTCCACTGAGTGGCTTGCAAGATAATCTGTCTGTTTCTCTCGCTCATTCTCCCTCCCTTATGCCTGCAAACTCTTCCTCCCTCTCTGCCTCCCGAACTCCAGAGCCTCCTGCCCTCTGTCATCATGAGGCTTCAGCCTTGGATCTGGCCCCTGCATTCTTCAGGCAACGAGAGCCAGCCCGACGACGTCGTGACGTTCTTTTCGACAAAACTGTCTTTTAGGTAAATACTTTCTGGGCCAACCTCACTGAATTAACGATCTGGGTCATTTGAATTTCTTCTCCGGAAATAATTATGGCCTTTGGGAAATGCGAAGTGTACAGCAGTCCTCTGAGGAGAGAGAAAATACCAGCCTCCCTCTCCCTAGGCTACCTCCTTCCATTTCTGTGTGACCCAGGGAACCAAATTAGCAGTGACTTCCATCTCAGGGACCCAGTGTTGCTTTGGCTCTCTCTGGAGAAGACCCTCAGGCACTCAAGGCAGCTCTGCACGTGAGGAGATAAGATTCCTGTGACTTTCCTATGTGTGAGAGGAGTGACTTCCTTCCATGCAGCTACAATTTTTTTGGAAAATAACATTCTGTACATTCCCTCACCAATTCTAGGAGGTGAAATAGAGAATTAAGTGGTGTCATTATCATTTAATTCATAATTTTATTGCCATAGCATTAGGAAGACCAGCGTTTGCTCTACAGTGCAAGGCAAGAGCAAAGCTCACAGACCTGGGTTTGGGAGTCAGTGGGTTGCAGTGCGGGTGGCTGGGTGGCTTTCGTCACGGTAATGAAGCGTGGTAGTAGAAGAAGCTGACGGTGTCTTCTCTGGCCGGAGGATGCAGGAAGGTACCTTGGAAATGAGAATGGCTCCTTTTTGTCATAAAAATGTAGGATGAGGAGGCTACCACTGCCCGAGGGGATGCCCGTTGTGCCGGAACAAAGCTGGCTCTTCCTAGTATCTCTCAGGAGGCAGAGCTGGCAGGAGGGATGGTGGGGAAGTCTGCAAGGGGCTTTGTGCTGGTTTGCCAGGATGCCACAACAAAGCACCCCCAACTGTGAGGCTTAAACCACAGAAATTAATTTTTTCACAGTTACGAGGCTACGAGGCCAACGTCAGGGTGCTGGCAGGTGGTTTCCTCTGCGGCCCTTCTGCTGGGCTTGCACAGTCCATCCTCGTCTCCCTGCACCTTCACATGGGCTTCCCTCTGTGCGTGTCTGTGTCCTAGTCTCTTCTTCTTATAAGGGCAACCTGTCCTGTTGGATTAGGGCTCACCCATAGGACCTAATTTCACCTTAATTACCTCCTTAAAGGCCATATCTCCAAGTATGGCCACATCCTGATGTCCTGGGGTCAGGACTTCAGCATGTGAATTTCACAGGGACACTATTCAACCTAGAATATTAGGGTTCCTGGGAGGGGAGGGAGGAAGATGGAAGCTGAGGGAAGAAGAGATGAGAATGGAGGGGATGTGACTGGTGGGGCACCCCAAGCTGTTGATGTTCTGAGGCAGTGGGACCTCTCGGGTGCACTGGGCTGTCCTGACGGAGCCTCCCTGGCCGGCTGAGTCATGAAGCCCAAAGGTGAACGCACCGGGCGGAAGTTGGCCTGGCTGCTGGCTGACTCAGGCTCAGCAGCTGGGACCAGAGGCTGGTGTGTGGGGGTGCAGGGAGTGGGGCGAGGGTTGGGGCCGGCGGGGGAGGAGAGCTGCAGCTGGATGGTTCTCCAGCTGTGCATATGGAACTGGCTGAGCATGAGTGTTAACCAAAAGAATGTGAACCTTGGAGCCCGGACTGGGGCAACACAGACTGCGCAGAGGCCGGTAGGTGAGGCCTCTGTGCACAGTTGGGCTGGCTGCATGACGTGGGTGATATCCTGCAGTCATGTGACTGTGTATGAGAACAGTGCTCCTGGAGCTGGCGACACTGGGCACCGTGGCTCTGACCCCAGAGGAGGAGCATCTCTGTAAGTCTGAAGGACCTGTTCTCTTTCTCTCTCCCTCCCTCCCTCCCTCCCTTCTTTCCCTCCTTCTCTCCTTCCCTTTCTTTCTTTCTTTCTTCTTCCTTCCTTCTTTTCTTTTCTTTTTTATTAGAGACAGGGTCTTAGTCATCCAGCAGGAGTACAATGGTGTGATTATAGCTCACTGCAGCCTCACACTCCTGGGCTCAAGGGATCCTCCTGCCTCAGCTTCCTGAGTAGCTAGGAACAGGTGTGCTACCCTGTCTGACTATTTTTTTTCCCCTTTTTTGTAGAGACAGGGTCTCACTCTGTTGCCCAGGCAGGTTTTGAACTCTTGGCTTCAAGCAGATCTCCTGTCTCGGCTTACTTATGTGCTGGGATTATAGGACTGAGCCACCACACCCGGCCGCTGGACCCATTTTTAATGGTGACACGATGTGGCAGCCACAGAGGCCATAATAGGAGTGGGAGCTCAGCGGATCCGTGTTTTCGCTCTACCAGGCATGTGGAGGCAGGATGGACCTCCTAAGTCTGAGTAAGGCCCAGGAACACTGGGAGATGGGGCTAGACAAGGCCACAGGGAGAATTTTATTTCCAGATAAGGTGGGGATTGAGTGATTGAAAAATAGAAGTGATGGGAATGGTTTGCACCCTAAGTTGACTAAATGGGTCACGCCAGTCACACTGAGATCTCTTTGTCGAGAGGTTTTAAATACATACTTTCGGAATTTTGGTTCAAAATTTGACCCATTATACCTCCAAAACTATCCCCGTTTTATCAGCAGGTTAGAGTCACTTGCTGGCACTTTGGTGGACATGGGAGAGACGTATTGGACTCAAGAAACGTATGAATGAAGCAGCAGCAGCCTGGGTTATTAAGTCGCCCCTGTCCCAAGTACGACTTGGCTGCCTTTGGTAAGGAATCCTCTGTCTTAGGGTAGGTTTATCAGAAGCAGACGCTGAGACGGTCATCCACGGGAAACTGATTAAGGAGGTGCATCCAGAAGCAACCGAAGGGAGGGAAAAGCAGGGCAGGGTGGAAAACCTCACAAGGGTGTGTTCGTAGGCAGAGTCCCAGTGCTCTGGGGAGTGTCACACCTCAGAGTATGTCCTGACTTGAGGCAATGGAGCTGTTCGTTCACGGTCCCCAAACGGTCATTCTTTGCCCAAGGGCCTCCAGGCACATCCAGGTTTTTGGTCATGTGGGCAGAGTGCTGCGATAGCCCTTAGAGAGTCAGTCCTCTAAAGGGAGAGGCACATGTGGCTGTTAGGGGCAGCGGGTGACAGGCGCACAGAAAGGGTCAGAGGAAGATCCCTGGGGTCTGGGCAGACCTTGGTCCACTGTTCCACTTCACTGCTGAGCCGCTGGCACGCGGCACATGGACTCCCGTCTCCTGGAACTGTTTGAAGACCTGATTCAGAAGTGTAGCCTGAATCCTGGGTCATAAGCATTGAGGCTGAGGGTGGCTTTGTGACCTTGGCCAGATGACTCTGACCTTCACTCTTCTCATCGGTAGGATGAGAATGATAATTCCTCCCTCACAGGGGGCTGTCAAGATAAAAGAGGCAGTGCGTGCCAAGCGCCCGCTCCCTGCCTGGCACCCCAGGAATGTGTGACGTGCCGACTCCCTTTCCCTACTTCTCCCCCTCTCTTCTTAGGGAAGAACAAGTTTCACCACGTCTGCTGGAAAGTTCCTGCAACCTGCTGACTTTGTTTATGTACCGTTCTGGTGAAGGTAACAATTTAGATGGCAAATTGCACTGCCAGAGCTGAGGAGTTGCTGTATTAATTTCTGACTATTTACTGTGACAGGTTTAAAGCTCCATATCTCAGGGAGTGCTGGAGCTCCCACTCCCCCGCATGCACAGCTGCAAAGAGGCTACTGCTGCTTCCTGGCAGCTTCGAGCAGGTCATGGCGCTGCGGGGGAGTGGGAGCTCCCATCATCTCCTCCGCTCTGAGGGTCTGGCAGCAACATCCTGGGAAGACCCAAAGTGCCACCTGACTTCCACCTGCCTCCTCTCCCAGGAGCCCAGGGTGGCCACCAGTCCTAGGCTAGGGGAGCCCACGCTTTCCCTCTCAGGGAGCACAGACAAGCCTCTCCCGAGTGCTGTGTGGCTCTGTATCGGTTGGCCGTGGAGTGAAAGTGCCACCTGCCTCAGTCTGGTCACAGGAGCATGCAGCCCAGAGGTGACCTGGGAGGCGGCGCCGACAAAGCCCCTTCTCTCTCCTTTAATTCGGGCCTCGGGCAAACGTCCATGTTACCTGGTGCTCTCCACATTCTGCAGGTTGGGATACCGGGCTTGAATAAGGTCTCACAGTCAGTGAGAGACAGAATGCAATACTGAACCGAACTGATGTTTTCCTGAGCCTCAGTGGGAGATGTCAGTCCACACCCCCATGCTTTACCCTTGCACCGCTGCCTGCCGGTCCGTGTGAAGAGAAGCAGTCAAGGCTCCTTCCTACAGCACACGAGGCTTTTCAGAGACTGAGGCGCTCCACGTGTGCTTCCTGCTTCCATTTCCCTGAGGGGCACCTTCCTCTATCCTCTGCCCCCACCTCAGAGACCACATCATTATAGAGCAATCTGATGAGAGCGTTTTATCCTTGGGCACTGTCTCAGAGGCCCACCCCTCTCCTCAGCAGCATGTTCAAGCACTCCTTCCCACGAAATCACTTAGACTGAACAGAAGAATTTTCTTCCCAGAACTTCTCATGATGTGTGAACAGCCCCCGTGCCTGGGGGCTGTTGGGAGGTAGACGTGTTTGCGGGGTGCCTGGGGCCCAGTGAGTCCACAGTGACTGTAGGTGATTCTAGTCACTGTCAGCGTCCTCAGGTGGGGTGCTCCTTTGCGTCTTCGATAGGCAGGAGGATGTACTTCACTTCAAATCCGAACTGGGTTGTGGAAAGGTAATTAGGAAACGCAGGTTTTCTGTGACAGCCGAGGCCACAGGAATTGTTTCAGCAGCAGAATGGCACACTGTCCGACACCGGGCACATGCAACCATGGCGCACTTGAAGCCTGGGGAGTGCCAATGAGAACTCAACGTTTCCATTCTAATTCACTTAAATGTAGCCACATGGGGCTAATGGCTACTGATGTGAACAGCACAGATGTAGCCTTCATTCTCCCATGACTGACGGAAGCTAAAGAACTTGAACCACAGCACACAGAAACTCTGGGAATGGTTTACTGCTAGAACATACACCCCAGAGAAGGTACGAAACATGGAGGTGGGGTAACAAGACATTCGCTCGTCATTCCTTGGAGGTGACATGCTAAAATAAACACTAACAAATTCCTGACGTGTGGCTCGGTGAAGGAGCCCTGCAGAAGGACCGTGACAGGCACATCTGTTTACGTCAGGCTCAAAGTGAAATGAGAGCGAGAGAGTCAGGGGCTCTTTGAATCCAAATACTATAGGCGAGTTTCCATTCATGTTTCTCTTAGACACATTCCAACCATCCTTTAAAAAATACACAATGTAAAATGAATGCCCTCACCTTTTAACTTAGCAACTCAATTTATAGGAATTTATACTGAAAAAAATAACTCCCAAATAAGGAAATAAAACTTTGTGCACAAAGATGTGAATGATAGTGATACCTACATTGGTACATCCTTGGAAACAAGCCACATGATCATTAGGAGAAAGGCTTAAGAATGACACAGTTAAATATTGGAAACAAATCCATTATTAAGAAGAAAATGTAATTACTAGACACTAAGCACAGTAAAAACTCTGGACAGTATATACGAAACAAACATGAGAATACTCTGGAAGATGGAGAAAAGAAGACAGATTAGCTAGAGACCTCTGGACCCAAGGAATGATACGTTTTCTCCAGTGTTTTAAAATGCATAATAAAAAAGACAAAATGAATGAAAAGCAGAAGTCTAGTGGAACGCTAGCTCTGGATTTTCTTTTCATCTCATTTATACCAAACTTTGAGCTGAAGAATCTGGCAACTCAGAACCACCAATGGGTACAAAATTTTAAAAGCCCAACAAAAGCCCAGTCTCTTCTGCTAAAAGACCAGGAAGGAGGCAGTCTAACAAGACGACAAAGGTTTAGACAGTTATTCATTTCCTCCAGCCACTGCAGAAAATGTGTCTCCCCATCCCAACTCGTGCAGGCAAAAGCTGAATGGGGAGCATAGATTTCTACCTTCTTGAGCCTGTAATGAGGCATTTCGATACCCTATCGGGGGTGTCAGAGAAGGTTAAATAGCGACCTGGGGCTTTCACTCCCACCAGACAGTGATGAGACCTTCTTCACCAGCGAAAACAGAAGATGTAGATAAGAAAGGGAGACTTACAGTATGAAAGTGTCCAGGTTTCAAGAGAAAATCACCTGTAATACCAAGAACCAGGAAAATATCAACTGAATGAAAAAGGCAATCAATAGATACCAACATAATCAACCAGTAGGATCTAACGGACATTTATAGGACACTTCACCTGAACCGCAAAATACACATTCTTTTCAAGTGCACTTGGACCGCAGACCAAAAGGAGTCCATCTTGGGCCATTGGAGCAAACCTCAGCACATGTAAAGGAATCAAAATCATAAAGTGTGTATTCACTGACCACACTGAAATCAAACTGGCAATCAACACAGAAAGATGACTGACAAACTTCCCAATACTAGGACACTAAACAACGCACTTCCAAATAACCCACGGGTTAGAGAGGAAGTCTCGGGGGAATGAAAGAATGCATCGAACTGAATGGAAATGAAAATGCAACATACCAACATGGTGGGACATAGCTGCAACGCCACTGAAAGGACATTTATAGCACTAATGAATGTACTCGGAAAGAGGAAAAGTCTCAAGTCAGTAATCTAGCTCCCATCTCAAGAACCTAGAAAAGGAAGAGCAAAATAAACCCGAAGAAGCTGTGGCAAGGAAATGATAAAGATAGAGCAGACATCAATACAATTTAAACAACAACAGAAAAAAATCAACAAAACAGATGGTCCTTTGAAAAAAATCAATACAATTGACCAACCTCTAGCAAAATTAACAAAAAAATCAACAAGAAAGAGAGGAGACACAAATACCCAATATCAGGAAGGAGGCAGGGAATACCACCACAGACCCTGAAGGTATAAAATATAATGAGGCAACACTACAAGTAACTTTGGACTTGTATGTTTGGCAACGTATAGGAAATGAACCTTCTCTACACAAATACAAACTATCACAACGCACTGAATGTTAGGAGAAAAGGCCAATTTGAACAGCCTTTTAAGTATTAAGAAAATTGGATTCATAATTCTAAAACTCTTGAACAAGAAATCTCTAGGTCCAGAAGTTTTCTCTGGAGAAAGCAACCAACTATTTAAAGCGATTCTACACAAATTTCTTCCAAAAAATAGGAGAGGAGGGAAAACTTCCTGATTCATTTTATGAGGTTAGTGTTATCCTAATACCAAAATCAAAGACTTTACTAAAAAAAGAAAACTACTGATCGGTATAGCTCATGAGTATCAATGCTAAATCCTTAGCAAGTTATTAGCAAACAGAATTTAGTGATGTATAAGAAAAATTTTATATCAGAATAAAATAAAGTCCATCCCAAGGATGATTTAATATTCAAGGATCAATCATATAATCTATCTCATTAGTAAGCTAAAGGAGAAAATTACACAATCATATTAATTTAGGCAGAAAAAAATCATTTGACAAAATTTAATATCCATTTATGATTAAAAACAACGCAGAAAACTACCAATAGAGGAAAGTCCCTCAACTCAGGAAAGAGCACCTACAGCAACCCCACAAGTAACCAACACTTGCTACTGAGACTGAATATTTCAGCCCTGAATTTAGGAAGAAGGCAGAAATGTCTACACTCTAATTCAACATGTGTTGGACTTTCTAGCCAGTGAAACAAAACAAGAAGAGGGAATAGAAGGCACTCAGACAGAAGAGTAAGAAATTAAATGGTCCCTGTTTGCAAATGACATGACTACGCACATAGAGAATTCCAAAGAATATACCAAAAAAAAAAAAAAAGAGAGAGAGAGAGAGAGAAAGAAAACCTCCTACAACTAAAAAGTAAGTTTAGTGGGGCCACAGGAGAGGGCATAAATAATATACAAAAATTAAGTGTGTTTTTATACACTAGCAATGAACATGTGGCCATTGAAATTAAAAATACAATACCATTTACAATTGCTCAGGAAAAACTAAAACACTTAAACATAAATTTAACAAAAATATACAAGACTAGGTAAAGCTAATGAAATGTGGAACACTTACACGCTGAAGACCACAAAACACTAATGAAATAAATATAATCTAACTAAATAGAGAGACATCCATGGTCAGGGATTGGAAGACTCAATACAATAAAAAATGTCGGTTCTCCTTAAACTGATACATGGGTTTAATACATTTCCTATTGAAATCCCAGGATTATCCTTTTTTTTTAGATATAGAAGATTATTCTAAAATGTGCATGAAACGGGAAAGGCACCGAGGCAGGTGGATCATGAGGTCAAGAGATCGAGACCATCCTGGTCAACATGGTGAAACCCCGTCTCTACTAAAGATACAAAAAATTAGCTGGGCATGGTGGCGCGTGCCTGTAATCCCAGCTACTCAGGAGGCTGAGGCAGGAGAATTGCCTGAACCCAGGAGGTGGAGGTTGCGGTGAGCTGAGATCGCGCCATTGCACTCCAGCCTGGGTAACAAGAGCGAAACTCCGTCTCAAAAAAAAAAAAAAGAAAGAAAGAAAACGGAAAGGCACTAAAATAGTAAACAATTTTGAAAAAGAAGAATAAAGTGGGAGGAATCCAATTGAAGACTTCTATTTCCTGAAATAAATTTTGTGTAGAATCCGATTACAAGACTTACTATAAGAGCTACACGGATCAAGACACATAGCAATGGTGGAGGTAACACAAACCCTATCAATGGAACAGAACACAGGACCCAGAAATGGACCTACACAAATAAGCCGCACCGATTTCTGACAAGGCGTAAAGATGGTTTAATGGAGTGTAGATAGATATTATTTTCAAAAAATAATACTGGAGCAACTGGACATTCGTAGGCAAAATAATCATCCAATTAATCACAACTTTAAGTCTTATGCCTTTTATAACAATTAACTCAAAATGGATCACAAACTCAAATGTAAACTGTAGAGCTATAAAACCTTTAAAAATGGGGTGAAAAAGACATAGGAAGGCTGGTTTGATTTGGTTTTCTCATCCTGGTCCTGACTAATATGGTGATAATAACACCATTCTCGGCCAAAAGCAAGGTGTGGTTTTATGAGGCTGCCGTGCTGCTGCTTCTCTGGCGCCTGTAAATGGTCTCTGAAGGCCTCCATGGGACGCGTCTCAAAACATCCCCAGCGATGGCATCACCAGCGTGTGAGGTGTGTGGTTTTCCAGAGTAATGCTTTGGCCCAAAAGCGTTACTGATGTTTGCTCAACACAATAAAAATCAATACTCCTTCAACTGGTATACGACATTAATATATTACCTATTAAAATACTAGGATGCCCAAAAATGCTTTTGCCCAAAAGCACTACTCTGGAAAGCCATACGCATCTTACAGCCTGGTGATAAGGTTTTGGGGGACAGAGTTAACTTGGGTGTAGAAGTTCTGTGATCTTAAAAACGAGGGAGCCTTTTTCCTTAATCATACCAGTTCATATGATTTCACATTTGAGGTGCTATTTGCCCCGCAATTCTGAGGGTCTCCTGTACTTTTACCCCATAAAAGACCAGGTGGCAAGACGGGTTTCTGAGGTGCTGTCCTTTCTGAGGATGAAAAGATCGCTCTCTCTCCAGGCTTCCTGGAGAACTCAAGCCCTTCATGGCTAGTTCAGGTCAAGGGCATTAGATGGGCAGAAGAAAGAGGGCCATTCTCTCCCTTCAGGAGCTGATTCTCCCCTATGTCAGCTGGAGTCCCATGAAGCCCTTTTCTCTTCATGGACGGGGGTTCTTTGTCACATTCTTGTAGACCCAGGAGGTTTCCAGGACAATTCTGTTTTCAGCCTTAAGGGAATTAAGACTCTTCTGCTGAGCCCCAGGCTCCACTCTGACTACTCTTTCATTCCTGCTGCTGAGGGACCCCTGCCTGTGCCCTTGGGCTTCCAGGGTAGCTCTGCCTTGCCCTTGATCTTGCCTGCCCTTTCTGTGTCCCCAGATACTGCTGTCTGGCCGCCAGAGCTGATTCAGAGTTGGGGCTCAGCTCCTGACGTCAGGCTTGCTGGTCTGCTGCTAGGCTGCCTTGCTTCTGAAACGTCCTGGCTGTCTGTGACTGCCTTACCCTGTGACTTCTTAGTCCACCCGACTGACACATACTACCAGTCACCCCATTTTCCTCAGCCACAACTCTGTCAGTCAGATGGCTCTGGGATCCTCTCGGGAAAGCTGGGTTTGGCACATTATCTGTGCCTTGCTGGGTCCTGGGGTGCGGCAGAGAGCTAACTTGCTTCCCACACCAAAGCACTAGGCTGCAACCAGGTTTTATCCTAGGGCCATTCCAAGGAGGAACAATTGGCTTCCCAGAAATCAGAACAGATCCAGGTGTATGACTGGACAGTGCTAGAGAACTGGACACGGGGGAACTGATAAGGAAAACTTCCTAGGCTCTGTCTCTCACTCCAAGGACCGGATCAGACCTTGGGGGGTCTACTCGAACTGCAGAGGCCTGCAGGAAGCCCACTTGATTCCAAGGACTCTAGGAGGCAGTATAGTTCTGGGGTCAGTAATAGTGGCTCTGGGGGGCTGTAGGCAGAGTGGTCTGAGGCCCTGGGCTAGGCTGCTGGGATGCTGCTGTCTCTCTAGAGGATTGACGTCCTGCAGCCAGACCAGGTAAGGATGAAAGCCGTGCTTCTGCCGCAACCTTGCTCCGCCACGCGTGGGACTTGTGCCAGGAAGGAGGCTGAGCCCGTGGAGTTGCACCTGAGTCTGAGCTGTACTAGAGGGCTTCCAGGCTCTGACAGGGCAGACCCAAGCTCAGTTTTCCTACAGGAGGAAGTCCAGTCCTGGGCCCCCAGCCCTGGTTCTCTAGCAATCCTACTGCATTCCCTAGAAGCCAACGGGGAAGGCTTTCTGAAGAATGCTGGCCTAGGAGTTCCTGGCTGATTTCTAGGGATAAATTAAGACAAAAAAAAATCTTCTGGGGTGGACTGAAAAGGCAAATTCCTATCTCTTTTCTTGAGGCTTCTGAGTCAAATCCTGTTAAAATATGGAGGGGATTCTTAAACCTGAAGGCCAGAAAGTCCTGTATTTACCCCACAATAAATCTACAAGAGGAGCCTTGTAGAAATCAGAACAGCCACACTTTTGGAAGCGAGCGCTCAGAATTTGGTGGGCTTGATGACTTACTGACAGGTGACGCAGTAATGTGACCTGCATCGTGGAAACTGCTGGTGCTGTGGACACTGTCCACAGGAAGTCAAACCAAACAGTCCAGTAAACAACTGTGACAGAGGAGAGTGAGGAGGAGCAGGTCTGAGGCTGGCCTTTCTCAACACAGAAGCTGGTGGAATTGGAGAGAGGTCCAGACAGGGAACCTGGGAACGAGAAAATGCAGCTGTGAGTCAGGATCCCAGGCCAGGAGGGGCGCATTGCGATGGGGGACATACTGGCCAGGTAGTATTTTTCAATTCTCCTAGTTTCTTGGATAAAAAACTAGTTTTTAATGGTAAAATGGCCTTTCCTTGGAATGATTCAGGGAATTCTTACAGGCATAGTCTTTCCGGGAAGAGGTGCCAAGCGCAGACCCAGCCTTCTCTACAGCACATGAGAAGTCAGGGCCAGTGGAAAACCTGGTTTCCACCGACATTCATTCAATGCCCACTTCACTCCAGGCACGTCATGCAGGTTAACTGCTCGAATCAGCTGCACCTGTGTCATCTAGCACACCACATTCCTGGCCTTCCCTTCCAAAAGTATCTACCACCATGTGGATTTCTAAAAGATCTCACTTGTTGACTTAGACACACTATTGCGTAGCCTACCGGCCTAAACTTCTCCCTATGTTAATAGGATGTGACTCAAGGGAAAGCTGATAGAATGGGTGTGAGAGAGAAAGATGAGCAAGGTGCAGCTGTCTGCTGGCTGCTCACAGCAGAGTAAGGGAGACAGACATGGTAAGCATCCATGACGACACCATGCAGTGGGCGTTTAAACAAGGCTGAACACTGCAGTTTGGAGCCCAGAGGAAAGCATGAGGAATGTATTCTTCCCCAAAGGAAAGGATAAGTAAAGAAAGGTAGAAGGTAAGAGAAGTAGAGCAAGCCTTGCAAAAGAAGAATTAGGGGGAGGGAAAGGGTAGGCTCACACCTTCCCTGTGCAGTGTGGGCACTGGTGTGGAGGTCAGCAATGGCACGGCGTATTGGTGTTTCTTCCTCACATGTAGGAAAGAACAGGGAGGACTGGACTCCCGAAAGTTGCAATCTTGAAAGCTGAGGCTGGAGAGGGAGGCAGCCTTGTGTGCCAGGTGGAGGGGTCAGGGCTTCATCCTGTCGTAAGCTACAGGAGTGTTGGGGTACCGTGGACGTTTTAAACAGGAAGTTTTGTGATTAGCTTTGTTTTTTAGGACTAGGATGGGGTCTTCGTCCTTCCTTATCAGGCTGTGGATATAAATGAAGTTATGTTGACAGTGAAGGTGTTTTGCTCTTGTCATTTTATATGTCCCTTCCATCTGCTGAACTGCAGGACACCAGCCTCCATTGAGGACCCCAATTCAACTGTGGTATCTTAGGGAGGCCCTAAAGTGGGGGTGGTTCCTGCCGGTCATTCTGGGCCTCTTACTGCCTGGTCACTCAGCTCTCCAGACCTCGGAAGTTTGCTTCCCTTCCCCACGTGGGCTCTCTGTCCTCATTCAGCCCACCTGCGCTTGTCTCGCTTTTGCAGGTAGGGGAGGTGCTCATTTGTGTTCTGCCTTCTTCTCTCATCTTTATTTCTCGCACCCATTTCTATCTGGCTTCCTTTCAGCTTTTGAGTCAAATCCTACTAACATATGGAAAGGATTCCTAAGTCAGTAGGTTAGACAATGCCGCCTCTAAATCAGCAAGGAGAGTCTGAAAAGTCTGCAAGCCCATGCAGAGTCACTCAGAGTATCAGAAGAGTCCATCAAACTTCTTTCTCGCGTGAGAACCATGCCTTTCTTCCCAGTGCAGGGATCTCAATTTGAGGCTCACTTTTAAGGAAACGTTTGTTGGTTTGGGCCATTGTTGAAAAAGCTTTTGCCTCCCCCACGTTAGGTCATCCGTGTGAATTGATGGTGATACTGAAGTCGATTCCCAGCAGGTCAGAGATATCTCAGAAAGCGAATTGAATTCTGGGAACATTTCTGTCGTGAATGCCGTGCCTCTCTTCCTCAGTGTCAGGGCTTCTGTGGAGGAAAGCGGCAGGCAGAGTGGACAGAGACGGGTTCTGGAGTAGTTCAAATCCGGGCTCTGCTACTTCTCGGGCGGCCTCAGGCAGTTTCCTCATCTATGAAACGGGGATAACAACAGTATCTACGGCATAGAATTGTAAAAAGGAGTGGATGAAAACAGTTTACCAGCTGTGGGTATAAATGAAGGCTCAGTGGGTGTGATGGTGATGATGGTGATAGTTCCACGGCTGCTTTCTGTGCAGCTGACAGGAAGGAGAGGAGGAGGCCGATACGACTGCAGCCATGTAGAAAGGGACTGAGTTAGCGGAACTTTCAGATGGGCTGAGCTGTGGGACACAGCTTTGCCTCCCAGATGGGCAGAGCCGCAAAAGGTCGGAGAGTAGTTGTCTGTGGATACGATTCAGGCTAGGGCTGACCACTGTTTTGATGGGGACTGTAAATGCAGTTTTGCCTAGAGTCAGATCGGACCTGGACCAGTCCCGTCTCTCTGAGGCGACACGGCTCTCAGCATGGGGTGTGGAGGAGTTTGGAAAAGTGCTGTTAAACACGACACGCCGTGGGAGGAAGCAAGCGTGCACTTTGCTCTTGCTCTTGCACCCTGAGAGCAAAGTGCTGGCAGGCTCAGAAATTAATTGAATAGTTGCTAAAAGCCCCCGACTTCCGGCAGCAGAAGCTCCCGGGGCAGAAGTTTCCTTAGCTGCTACCCAAGAGAGGCTGGGTCTTTCCCGTACTGGCCTTGGAGCCGGTGCTCAGCATTTAGCCTGGAAGGCAGGAAGTGTCCACAGGAATTTCATTGTCTGAAATTGTTCACGTGGTGTGACCACGGGAACCCTAAGAGCACCCAAGACCAATGTTCCTGTGATTTTCTGTCCCAGTCCGGGTAGGTAGGGTGGATCAAGTGTTCACCGTGGCCACGCTGCCTCGCTCTGTGAGTAGAAGGCCTGTGTCTCCATGTTCTTCAGCAACCCCAGCAACAGCGGACTTCCTGGGACGTCAGTAGTTGACCAGCCACCAGGAGAAGGATGTCTTCCTTTCATTCCTCAGTCTTCCCCCCCATTTTTGTGTAAAAATAATTTTCTGCCATGAAACACTTAACGTGAAGACTTTAGTAATTAAGTAAAGCCAATTTTAGGAAGAAATACCCTCTCACCAACACCATTCTTTTTGTACATTGTCCTTTAGCTTGGCCATTTGTGGGTACAGTTCTAAGGATCTGTAGTCTGCGCTTTGCAGTCTGGCGTTTCACTCCGCAGCGTCACTGGCATTGCTGTGCTTTTATAATGATTTTTTAGGGTTTCATGACGTATATTCCATTGAGTTACCGCCATCATTTATTTAATCATTCCTTACTGATGCACATTTGCAGGATTTTCTGTTTTTGGCTGTGATGGTGACTGCTGTATGAATGTTTGTGTTTACAGTCAATTTCTTCGATTAAATTCTTCCTTTGGCTTACTGGTTGGAAGGACGAACATTTTCATTCTAACACACTACCTTCCAAAGGGATCCAACCAGACGTACAATGCTGCCGACTATGTATGGTGGGACCGTTTCCTTCTCAACTTTTCTCACACTGGCCATTGTCGTCAAAACAAATGCACATTACTAACTTTTCAGCGGAAACGTAGCTGAATTATTAGTACCTCCCCTCTGTGTGAGCCTTCAGGCCAGAAAGACCTCCCAATACCTGCTGTTTGCTGGTCTTCACTAGGACATCCTCACAAACCCCAACTTCATCCGGAATCAGAATGTATTTTCATTTTATTTTTTTTTGAGACAGGGTCTTGCTGTGTCACCCAGGCTGGAGTGCAGTGGCACCATCACAGCTCACTGCAGCCTTGACCTCCTGGGCTCAAGCAATTTTCTTGCCTTGGCTCTGCCCACCACCCCCAACCCCCCCCGCCCCCCACCCAGCCCCACTCCAGTAGTGGGACTACAGGCAGTTGCCGCCACGTGCAGCTAATTTTTTTTTTTTAGAGACCAGGTTTCACCATGTTGCCCACACTGGTCTCAAACTCCTAGCCACAAGCAATCTGCCTGCCTTGGCCTCCAGAAGTGTTGAGATCAGAGGCATGAGCCACTTCGTCCAGCCTATTTTCTTTTTTTTTTTTTTTGAGACGGAGTTTCTCTCTTGTTACCCAGGCTGGAGTGCAATGGCACGATCTCGGCTCACCGCAACCTCCGCCTCCTGGGTTCAGGCAATTCTCCTGCCTCAGCCTCCTGAGTAGCTGGGACTATAGGCATGCGCTACCATGCCCAGCTAATTTTTTGTATCTTTAGTAGAGCTGGGGTTTCACCATGTTGACCAGGATGGTCTCGATCTCTTGACCTCGTGATCCACCCACCTTGGCCTCCCAAAGTGCTGGGATTACAGGCTTGAGCCACTGCGCCCGGCCCAGCCTATTTTCATTGATTCTTAAACCCAACAAGAATCTCCCTTCCTTCCCCTGGACCCTGCCAGATTTGATCTTCCTCCAGCTTCCTTTAATGTTCCACGTTTTAAATCTAGTCAACTTGTCCAGTTGTTTCAATTAAGGAATTATTGTTGCAGCTCTCCAGACAGCACTGCTTTCTCTTCCGATGGTAGGTACTGATTTAGACAATTACTGCCAGTGGAGCAGAAACTTTCCCAGTACATTTGATTACAATGTGTTTTCTCTTCTGGGAGTTGTCTATGTTCTTCACCATTTCATTCACTCATTTCAACAGATGGGACTGAATGACTAAGATATTCTGAATGGCAGCAATATGACAGTGAAGATACAGCCCTGCCTTGTCATGTCACCTTCATGGCTTACATGTCCAGCTCTTTGTACAGGAAAACACGTGCGATTAACAAGCAAGTAAGGGAAGGTACAAGCCGGGCCGTGATAGGTGCCAAGGAGACAGACACTAACGCGGGTGAAGGGACAGAGAACGCTGGGGAAGTGTGGGAAACGATGGGCTGCAGGCGGCTGGCGTCAGCTCTTGAACACGCTATGCCTCTCTCCCCAGCTTCATGTTCAATGACTTTGGTAGCTTGAAAGTGGCCACAGTGGGAGTATTTAGATCACACACAAAAATGCTACAATTCAGGGACAGCTGGTTTTTAAACATTTGCCAGCATACAGCTGGATATGGGATTGCTATTTCATGTGCGTCGGTCAGGGAAAATCTGAGCGAGAAGGTGACACTGTGGAGAGACCTGGAGGAAGCGAGGGAGGGAAGCAACTGGGAGTCTGGGCGAGGGAAACGCCGGTGCGGGGTCCTGAGGAAGAATGCGGTTAACATGTTTTAGAACCAGCATGGAGGCCACTGAAGCAGATTTGGAGAGAGTAGAATGCAGGAAAAAATGGGTACGAGGTGAGATGGGGGCAAGGAGGCAGGGGACTGGCAGGTGATACAATCGGATTAGACTTGTAGGTCACTGTAAGTATTCTGGCTTTTCCTCCTGGTTTGAGAGGGAAGCCATTGAAGAATTCTGAGTTGAGAAGTGAAAGGCTCTAATTTATGTTTTAAAGCCTGCTGCGTTGAGAACAGAACTATAGGAAGGCAGAATTCCAGTCACTAGAAAGCTATTAAAACAATCCAGAAAAGAGTCAACGGTGGCTTGGATTGGTGGTGGGTGTGGTGAGAAAGTCATTCTGAATAGACAGTCAAGGAAGAACCCACAGTATTTGCCGATGTATCAGACAGGCTGTGTCAGAAAGAAGCAGGCTGATGCGTTTTTGGGAAGGCCTCTTCACATGTACACATATATCCACATTTAGAGATGGGCTCTTGCTCTGTCACCCAGGCTGGAGTGCAGTGGCACAATCAGAGCTCACTGCAGTGTCAGCCTTACAGGCATGAGCCACCATGGCCAGCCCTCATATGAACTTTGAAGAAAGTGTTTTTAGTTGAGGAAGATTTGTGGTAGAGTGGCAGTGCACCACCCAGCTGTTTCTTTGGCATATATTTCATTCTTCTATACAAATCTTATTGTGGGCAAAGACTCTCATTTAACCGTTTGACTGAGCGGTTTGGTTTGAAGACGCTGACCAATGCAGCTATGGGGAAAGAGTGAGCTGTCTGTGAAACCCCACTCGCTCCCTTTCCCATGCGTAGTAGAGAGTGCAGTGGGCCTGAGGCAAGTACATGCATCTCTGGGACCAAGCGTGGGCCAAGGGGAGGTGAGTGAACTGTCCTTTCCAGGTGATTGTCACGTGAAAGGCAAGCCATTTTTTCTGGTATTCCTCTTTCCTTACCCCATAAGCTCAAACACAGGTGCTAGATGGGCCTGTACTTGGATTTGACCATCTAGCCGAGGTTCGGGGATAATGACACAGCAAATCTGCTCACCCACTCAGGACTGTTCCATCAGAGAGAAAAGACGAGCATCTTAAAGCTGAAGCTTCTTGGGAGTCTTTTTATTACAGAAGCTTAAGCTTTCCCCTAACTAATACAAAAGCCAATTCTGAAACCAACCAACCAACCAGCAGAAAATCAGAAAGTTGAAAGTGACATATTCCAACTGGTGACAAAAGCCTGCAGGATCGGAACCTTTTGGTGGGTACGAAATGGCAGGAAAGCAAGGGAGACGAGGCATCCAGTAGTGGAAACACCACAGAAGGCCACGACCTTAGGTGGGAAGTGAGTAGAAAGACACTGGGTGAAGGAGAGGAAGAATGCTGGAGTTTTAAGGCAGGAAGATTTGCCCAGCATGAGGTCAGTAAGTACGGGGATCCAGGGGCTGAGGACGAAGTGTGGGCCTACAGGCAAAGTTGATCTACTACAGAGAAGGCAAAACTTAAGAAGGGAAGACGCTCTCGCAGTCGCTCAGGAGGTGGGCGGGAATGACCAAGGAGATCTTTTGAAAAATGTGTCTTTTATTGGCCATGCACTAACTTTGATCTATGCCAAGGGAGGGGGAAGAAGACTCCTAACAACCTTCCCCATTAAAGTTAATGGGGAATCCCCTATAAAGTCTATGGGAGGAATATGGCATGATGAATCTGTATGATTATTTCATGAAGCTTCCATAAGATAAATAAGGCTCGTAAGAGATGTGTTTATTGGTGAACAATTTATATCGGTGTATATACCATCGGCTGGAATGCAATTGCTGAGGATAAGGTGGGAAACAATTACCAAGTTTGACTCCAGCTGGCGCTACACCCGTGGGAATGCAGTAAATAAGTGCTTAATCACAATGAATATAAAGTGGCTCACTGGGTGAACAGTTCCGGAGAGCCAGCGCACACTCCTTATTCTCGTTAAGAAGCTGGTATTGCCTGGCACTTGGGGGAAGCGGCAAGCTTTCCCTGGAAGACCACTTTGAAGGCTAGGAGAATGACTTTGGCAGGAGGAAGGGAGCCATGCTCAATTCTTAGGGCCCTGCTGAGGCCCCTGTGTGAGCCCAAGTTTTAGCTGGAGGGAGCGGGCTTCCACCTCTCCATAGCCCTCTGACAAGCTGCAGGGGGAAGAACGCTGCCTGCTTCCCTTCTCTCTGCATCTCCCACACTTTGTCACTCTGCAGGGACATTCCTATAGTCCTGCTCCTTATCTCCCAAATTTATTCTTTGTCTCTCATGGTTTGGCCTTTACCCAACTATACCACAAAGGCTGGCCCTGCTCTTGCTGTGTGGGGCGGTGGTGAATAGGCACGTGGGCTATGAAGTGGACCCGCTTGAGTTCAAATCCTGGTCATGTCCCATATCATCTTTGTGATGGTGGGCCTTGTTTCACTTGTGAAATGAAGATAATATTTGTTTATCTCTATTCTCCCTAGAGAAATAGTCTGTGACCTCCATGAGGGCAGAAACAGGTCTAGTTTGTTCCTTATATTCTTAAATGCTAGAATAATGACAGGCATATTCTATATGAGATAGGTGAAAGGTACTCATCAATGTTTTTTAAAAAATAATGATTGTGTGGAGAGACAGATTGGGATCCAGCTGAGATTAGGTCCCCCAAACGTGAGGCAACAGGCTCGCTCCCCCTAATTATGTGTATGGTTGGGGGGGCTATCTTTTTGGGCTACAGTTTCTGGAAGAATTGAAGAAGACTATTAGGTACAATGTGCAGGAAATGGGCGGAGATGGGGTGGGCCTGGGTGGCAGCATCCACCTGGTTACGGTTCTCTACGACAATCTGACTTGAATAGGAAGGGGCAGCAGTGAGGACCATCTCGGGTAAGCATGAAATGGTCACCATTTACACTTTAAAAGTGAAGCCAATTAATAACAGCTATTTGTAAAAGGACCACCATTGTTCTCCTCTGTAACTATGCCTCTTTGGAATATGACTTTGCAGTTGCTCCGGCAGGAGGTGAAGTCTGTTTCCCTACTCCTTGAATCCAAGTTGGCCTTATGACTCGCTTCAGCCAATAGGAAGTGGCAGATGTGTCATGTTAATTCTGAGTCTAAGTCTCAAGGAGCCTTTGTGAACTTCGTTTTCCTTCTAAACCTGTCCAGTCCTGTGAACAAACCCAGGCTGGCCTGCTGGATGACAGGAGACCAAGTGAACCAGAGGCAAGTCAGCCCCACTATCCAGGGCAGGCCTCAGAAATGTGAAGAGCGCAGTGAGATTTGGCAAAGTCAACCGACAGCTGACCTGCAGACACACGAGGGACCACCCAGCTGAGCCCTGCCCGGATTGCCAACACACAGAATCATGAGCTAAGTAAGTGTGGTGGGTTTTGAACGCTTTGTTTTGGGGTTGTTTGTTACACTGCAATAGAAAAGTCATACAGGATTCCACAAGTCGGGTGGGATCCAAGACTCGGAGAAGGGGATGACTTCTGGCTGGGCGTGGTGGCTCACACCGGAAATCCCAGCACTTTGGGAGGCCGAGGTGGGTGAGGCTCACCTGAGGTCAGGAGTTTGAGACTGGTCTGGCCAACATGGTGAAACCCCATCTATACTAAAAATACAAAATTAACCCTGTGTGGTGGTGCATTCCTGTAATCCCAGCTACGCGGGAGGCTGAGGTAGGAGGATCCCTTGCACCCACGAGGCAGAGGTTGCAGTGAGACAAGATCACGCCACTGCACTCCAGCCTGGCAACAAGAGTGAAACCCCGGTTAAAAAAATAATAATAATCAAGTGATCACTTTCTCCGCATGCAATTCTCACTGCCGTTCCTCTTTAGACTTAATTTTATCAGGTGTTATTGAGGCAATTTCTGGCTGATTTCTGGGTCAGTCCACATCCTTTCTCCAAAGTCCGAGTTCCAAAGCCCCTCGTGTCTTTGGACATTATCCTCAAGTGGCACCAGCTGCAATGGTTAGATGTTTGTTAATAGCGCCAGCAATGCCCACGAAGGAACTACCTCAGCTGTCTGCTGCTGCTTGAATGTGTGCAATGGTGGGGTAAGCACAGGAAGGTAAAGACTGTGGCACTGACAAGTCCAGACTTGAAACCTGACACTGAGTAGCTGTGAGACTTAACTTCCCTGAGTCTCAGTTTCCTCATCAGTAAAATGGGGACAGCAATGCTCATCTCATGGGGTTACACGGAAGGGACCTAGCCCATTATAGGATTATTATGAGAGTGGTGGAAATCACGGAGGTTTGGGGCCCGGCATAACTGAGGCTTAGAAAAGGCATCTCCTCCCACATACAAGAGAAAACAGTCCCAGTGAACCCTTGTCAGTTACAGGCCCAAGTCAAGATTATCTGAGCGCCGTCTGCGGAGCACTAGGGCAGCTGGCTGCGCCTCTGCTTCAGAGATCACGAGCTTGGCAGCGGGCCCTGCCTTTAGTGCTGATGTCCCAGTCAAGACGGGCTGCACTCTTGGCAAACGTCTCTGCTGTCTGTGTCAGCGACGTAGTGTTTAGCGAATTTCTTCCTGTTCTGGAGCCCAGCAGTGATTGCCTTGGTGGCCTGGGCACGTGTTTTCTTCACAGAAGAGCATGCGAGTGGGGAATGGTTTGCTCCTTTGCAACCAGTTCCCTCCCCTTCCCCACCAGTGCGCACCCCACCCTCCAACATTGCTCCAATTCCTGTGGGTCAACAGGCTGAGCCCAGGGATGTGGATTTATGTCCTTCAGAAGTCTGATTGAGGGTTAGGAAAAATCATCTGGGATGTGATGACAATCACAGGCACAGACCCTGAGTTGTGGCTGCTGTTTCTTTTCATAGACTATTCCCAGGGGGCCTTCATGCTAAGTACTTGCCAATATCTGCTAAAAGGTTCCTATTTCTCCACGGCTGTAGAAAGCTTTAAGGGGAAAACACCTAAGCTTTGGGTCATCTACTCTTTTTGTCACTGTAAATTTCATTCCATGTTCTTCCGGAATGTTTGTGCACATACACATATGTACATACATATATAGATTGACATACACACATACATGAATTTTCTCCCTCCATATATATATATATATATGTGTGTGTATATATACTAGAAGGCCACAATCTGGAGGCCAAAAGCCAAATTCAGTGCATATGAAAATTGTTTGGCATTTTAAAGACTTAAATTTAAACTCCTTAAGAAGGGGCATAGAGTTTTCCGTTCCTGACTGGGCCTGAAAGCACTGAAAGTTGTCATTCTGAGTTTCACATCACTGTTTACGACTATTCTTATCCCACCATATTCATATTTTTCAGCAGAGAAATTTTGGCCATTTTGAGCCAGGTAACTCTCTGCAGTTTGGGATTGTTTTGTGCACTGCTGGACATGTAGCTTCCCTGACGCCTGCCAAGTCAGCACCAGCAGCGTCCTCAGGTCTACGTGATAACCAAACTGACCCCATGCGTGTTCTTCTCTCCGGCTCACGATTGAATTATCATAGACTCTCCTCCACAGATATCTTTGAGTATAATGTAAACCTTATGTCCTAGGTTATCTGCGATAGCCCTGTGGTTCAGGTGTATTTTTTAATAGCAGCTCCTGTCCCTCTCAAAAGTATCCCTATTTGTATGATAAACCAGTGGGTCGCCCTGACTGTAAGGCCCTGCTTCAGATGGTTAGATTTGTCATGTTCTGCCAAAAATGGACGAACCGTGCCATTGGTGCTAAGCATGGCTTCCCAGAGTTAATCTACATGTCATGCGGTGAACGCCGTCCACTGAGGATGCTCTGGGCAGCTCTCACTTCCAACTCCAGCTGAACATCAGGGTAGTCACTGACACAGGCGCATTTTTTAAAAGGTGGGCAAGAATTGACTCAAGGCCAGAGCGAGGCTGAAGAAAGAGGATGTCTGGTGAACCCGTGGATTCAAGAAGACCTGCAGCAATATCGTGTATGGTCCAGAGAGGCCTGCGTAGGCTCCATGCTTTACAGATTAGGAAACTGAGGCCCGGAGAAAGGAAGGGAAGTAGAACCTCAGGGTATGAAAGGCTTAAGAGTCTCCTTGCCCTTCCCAACTCAGAAGCTTGCATTTCCACTGAGCATATTCACAAGTGGAGGGTCAGCCTCTGTCAAAACCCCGAGCCATGGGTCACAGATACCACACAAGCCAGAGGCGGAGGCAGAACCCAGCGATCCCCAGTTTTGGACCACAACTCTTCACTTTGTTCTATTCTGTGTCTCCTTAGATTTCCCCCTGAGATACTTAAACCTCCACTCTTCCATGTACATCTAAAAGATGCAACCGATTTGGAAGTACCAGATGTCTCTAAGAGAGGGTTCCTAGAGAACACAAGGGCTGCACACTCAGCAGTCATGGGCTGGTTTGAGAAGTGGATTCCACTGTATTGGACCCTGGGTGCTTTCCAGTTACCTCCCCAGTACTTCATGCAATCTAAGCTTGGGAGAGCTTTGATCAGGAATCCCTGGGTGGCAGCTGGTTATCTGGGATGTGGAAGAGGATTCACCTTGAACTTTGTAACTTCAGAAGAGTCAGGCTCTCAGCATGAAAGGAGGCTTGGCTTGACCTGGCTGCAGACCCCTCTTCTGCCTGATGCTGTTTCCAGATGGACCTTTAAGTGTTCTGAGCAGGCCCCACGCAGGAAGTATGTCCTGCATTGAATGCCAAGTTTTGCTATTATTCATTCTTTCTTCTGGCTTTTTACGGGATTGGTGCTCCTTTAAAGAGACCTGTTAGCCATTCCTTGTGAGCAGCTCTGTTGATTGACACGATTTGCTCTGCTTTGGCAGGGCGATCTGAAAGACCCCGGAGTTCCGCAAGGGGCGCCTTTTCCATCAAGTTTCTCAAACATCCTTTCTGACCCGGCTCATCTAATCTCGCCTTGGATTCAAGTTCTCCACTAGGGGTAGTGTATTGGTCCTCGGTTTTAAAAATTAACACTATTCTGAACAGACATGGCGGAAACACTCTGCAAGTTAATATGCAATACTAGTCTAAATACTACTCCTCCTGTTGGGCACTGTGTGCTAGACCCGTGTTAAGCCCTTCCCTGAACTACCTCATCAAACCCTCCTGACTCCATTGTGACATCTGGATTATTAACTCTCTCATTTTACAGAGTGCTAACTCGAGGCTCAGAGAAGTGGACTAGCTTGCTCAGGGGTACACAGCTACTAAATGGCAGAGCTAAGATTCAAATTTAGGTCAGTCCGAGCAGGGCCTGATCTTAACGATAGCATTAGACCAGCTCAGAGGCCTCAGAGGGGAGAGTACTCCACTTCCCAATGCTCTCCGAGGCGTATAAGCACCCCTTGCCTCTGCTTACCAGGGATACAGCGTAGGGTCACGGAGAGAGCCCTGGCCCTAAAGTCAGAAGGTCTGCATTTGAGTGGCAACACCTGCCCTGCCTTTATTAAGTTTATTGTGAAGACTGAATGCTACAGTGTACATGACTAAGGTCTTATATATAATTGTCATCTGCGATGGCTTGTATAAAAGATGACTCTTATGTGTATATTTCTACCTGTTTCTACGTGTGTGTGTGTGTGTGTGTATCCCAATTATATCCAATGATGATAGGCTTATATCAGGTTGCTCACAGTTGGATAAGCCATTCTTGGGACTAGGATTTCATACTAGAAGGGAACTAAGAAATCATCTGTACATTCCAAGTGAGGAAAATGAGGCTTGGTCCCAGGACTAGCAGAATGACGTTGATTTGGAGACTGATGACTCAGGAATAGGCAGGGACCAGAAGAGCCATAACATTCACATGTACTATTGAAACGCCGGGGTCATTTAGTGGGATGAACGCAGTCCAGACTGGGGGAAGAGCAGACTGAAGCCAGAGAGACGATGAAGACTGCTGTGGGGCGCAGGAAGAGAAGGTTCCAGGTGGAAGGACAGGCTGTCTGTAAGGGAGGGTGTTCTGGAAACTTCACCATGAGACAACCTGATGCTGTTTCTTCCTCCCATGTCTTTAGGTCCCCTGTGCCATGTGCAGTGCTCATGGCTCCCTGCCTGGGGGAAATTCAGGTTTACAGTATTCAACGAGGATGAGAGTATGTATTTGATGACCCAAGACTAGGAAGTGGTCCAGCAGGAAGGCTGCATTGAGTTACCAACTTGGGTGAAAAAGATCAAGGTAGAGATTTGATTTTAGGGCCAGTAGGTCTCACAGAAGTGGCTTGAGCAAAATTCCGAACAAATTCCACCCACGCCGCCTTCCGACTCCATATCCACCAGTTCTTTCCTCAAAGGTCCCCCTGACCCCACACTCATCTTTCCTAGTCTTCCTGCAAATGCCTGGTTCTGATCCAAACTAGATGACAGGGTCCAGACACATAATCCAAGTCCCCAGCTGACAAAACCCACAACACACGTCCTGTGTCCAGATGGGGACTGGAGGTCAACTGTGTCATCTGTCTTTATGAAAGGGAGTATGCTATTATACTGATTACAGTGTGTTGGGCTTTACTAGGACTAAAGATAGATATACGTGGCTTCTGAGACAGGCACTAACATTCCTTTGGCTTCCTTTACTATCTGCTTTTTAGAGAAATCTTTGCCTTGATTAGAAAAAAAAAAAAAAAAAATCAGTCTGCCAAAAGCTGTGCTGCCTCAGGCATTTTCTGAAGGGCAATTTGCAACTGACCAGTGCTGCTGTGGTCTTTGACATGCCCCTGGTGCTGTTCCCCAGCATCATGTTTGTGTGTGATTGCAAAAGGAACACAGCAGGCAGCCCCACTCTGCGTTCCTTTATTCCAGCTTTTCCATTTCTAGGCTCTTCGTATCTCCTAATGAAGAACTGCACAGCACAGCCCTGCCTGGGTGAGCCCAAGAGACCTCTTCCCTGGAGAAGATATTGGAGAGAGGTTGGGGCTGACTCTGCAACAGGATGAGAGAAGGAATTAGCATTTATTGAGTTCCCGCTGTGTGCTCCCCTGTGCCAGACGGTTTTGCTGATCACTGCAGAAACTCTGGAAGGCAAATGAATTGGAGCCTCTGGATAAAGAAGCAAACGATGAAGCTGGAGTCTGGGCCCAAGTCTGCTCATTTCAAGCCCATGTTCTTCCTGTGTTATATTGGGATGCAGTCAATCTAGAGCAGGAAGTATAAACTCTGTGCCCTCCTTGCCTACGTAATATCTCTTGGGAGCTATAGTGGAGGTAAAATGAAAAGGTAGAAAACACTCTTTATTATTTCTGTTCTCAGGCAGGCATAATAAATTTATGTTCACAAAATCAAATGCCTTGAGTGGTCTGGTGGGATATGTAAACGTGAGTGCCATGATGAGCAGGAACTTGGGGAGAGGGTGTCAGAATGGAACCAGGCCCCACAGACATGCTCCATTGGGAGGCATCAACATTCATGCTTTAAAAATCATTGTTGGCCAAACCAAAGGTGCCTGTGGGCCAAACAGAAGCAAGGGCTGTCATATGCGGACTCCTAACTCATGTGTCCTTCCAGGTGTTGGTCACAGCATATCTTGCCAGGTGCTAGTGTATCCTGCCAAGAGTTTCCTAGGTGTTGATGTTTGGTTTGATTTCTGCATTTCCTAAAAAGGAGAATAAATATACTACCTATACAAATTGCAAGAATACACATATACTGACATATGCATTCATCCTAAACAGGAGGGATGTAAGTGGTGCTACATTGAGAATACACATATACACACACGTACATTTATCCTGAACAGCAGGGGCGTAAGTGGTGCTACATTGAGAATACACATATACACACATACATTCATCCTGAACAGCAGGGGTGTAAGTGGTGCTACATTGAGAATACACATATACACACATACATTTATCCTGAACAGCAGGGGCGTAAGTGGTGCTACATTGAGAATACACATATACACACACGTACATTCATCCTGAACAGCAGGGGTGTAAGTGGTGCTACATTGAGAATACACATGTACACACATACATTCATCCTGAACAGCAGGGGTGTAAGTGGTGCTACATTGAGAATACACATATACACACATATATTTATCCTGAACAGCAGGGGTGTAAGTGGTGCTACATTGAGAATACACATGTACACACATGTACATTTATCCTGAACAGCAGGGGTGTAAGTGGTGCTACATTGAGAATACACATATACACACACGTACATTCATCCTGAACAGCAGGGGTGTAAGTGGTGCTACATTGAGAATACACATATACACACTTACATTCATCCTGAACAGCAGGGGTGTAAGTGGTGCTACATTGAGAATACACATATACACACACGTACATTCATCCTGAACAGCAGGGGTGTAAGTGGTGCTACATTGAGAATACACATATACACACACGTACATTCATCCTGAACAGCAGGGGTGTAAGTGGTGCTACATTGAGAATACACATATACACACATACATTCATCCTGAACAGCAGGGGTGTAAGTGGTGCTACATTGAGAATACACATATACACACATATATTTATCCTGAACAGCAGGGGTGTAAGTGGTGCTACATTGAGAATACACATGTACACACATGTACATTTATCCTGAACAGCAGGGGTGTAAGTGGTGCTACATTGAGAATACACATATACACACACGTACATTCATCCTGAACAGCAGGGGTGTAAGTGGTGCTACATTGAGAATACACATATACACACTTACATTCATCCTGAACAGCAGGGGTGTAAGTGGTGCTACATTGAGAATACACATATACACACACGTACATTCATCCTGAACAGCAGGGGTGTAAGTGGTGCTACATTGAGAATACACATATACACACTTACATTCATCCTGAACAGCAGGGGTGTAAGTGGTGCTACATTGAGAATACACATATACACACTTACATTCATCCTGAACAGCAGGGGTGTAAGTGGTGCTACATTGAGAATACACATATACACACATATATTTATCCTGAACAGCAGGGGCGTAAGTGGTGCTACATTGAGAATACACATATACACACATATATTTATCCTGAACAGCAGGGGTGTAAGTGGTGCTACATTGAGAATACACATATACACACGTACATTCATCCTGAACAGCAGGGGTGTAAGTGGTGCTACATTGAGAATACACATATACACACACGTACATTCCTCCTGAACAGCAGGGGCGTAAGTGGTGCTACATTGAGAATACACATGTACACACATACATTCATCCTGAACAGCAGGGGTGTAAGTGGTGCTACATTGAGAATACACATAGACACACATATATTTATCCTGAACAGCAGGGGTGTAAGTGGTGCTACATTGAGAATACACATGTATACACATATATTTATCCTGAACAGCAGGGGTGTAAGTGGTGCTACATTGAGAATACACATATACACACATACATTCATCCTGAACAGCAGGGGTGTAAGTGGTGCTACATTGAGAATACACATGTACACACACGTACATTCATCCTGAACAGCAGGGGCGTAAGTGGTGCTACATTGAGAATACACATGTACACACATACATTCATCCTGAACAGCAGGGGTGTAAGCGGTGCTACATTATTCTTTGCACTTTCCTTACTTTCCTCTCAAATTACTTTTCTGTATTAAAAGAAAATGCAGCACGTGACGAGGGCTGAAAGCAACTTGAGTGTCTCAGTCCACCTCACCCACATTACAGATGAAGAAACTGAGTCCGGAAAGAACAGGAGCTTTCCTAGTTTCACAGAGCTAATCAGGAGCAGAGCTGGTCTCGGAGGCCCCAACCCCCAGGCCAGCAATCCTGTCACTGCATATCCATCCATGCACAAGTGTGTGGGCCACAGAGGGGTCTAAGTACTACGTATAGAAATACTTGTAGCAGCCATTACACTGCCTTAGGGTCAGGTTCAGGCAATGTGACAGTGTTCTGCCATCAGGAGAGGACCTGTCAGAATTTACCTGCAAGACCTCCTGGCTGAGTGTGTGTATGAAGACATGAAGATGTGAGCCCGGGATTCTAACCCCACCAACAGTCAACCTGGGCTATATACCTGTCGTGAGAGGCTAGGTGGGAGATGTCCCAAGAAGGATGCCCTTGGCCTGAGCATGGAGCAGTGACGTCCTCTCTGAATGGAGCAAGAGGCTCCGAGCCATTGAGTGAAGAGAGAATTTACTTTAAAACAAATTAAAGGGCCGGGTGCGATGGCTCACGCCTGTAACCCCAGCACTTTGGGAGGCTGAGGCGGGTGGATCACAACGTCAAGAGATCGAGACCATCCTGGTCAACATGGTGAAGCCCCGTCTCTACTAAAAATACAAAAAATTAGCTGGGCATGGTGGCGCATGCCTGTAATCCCAGCTACTCAGGAGGCTGAGGCAGGAGAATTGCCTGAACCCAGGAGGCAGAGGTTGCGGTGAGCCGAGATCGCACCATTGCACTCCAGCCTGGGTGACAAGAGCGAAACTCTGTCTCAAAAAAAATAAAAATAAAAATAAAGAAAAGACGCGGAATGTTAGAGGTGGAAGGAACTCTGAAGAAGAATCAAATTCATTACCAGTGGGTCTTCAGAATCTCTTTGTACTGAAACAAAATAGATTTTCTTGCCTCTGTGCTTCCCTAATGCCACGTATTTAATGCTGGCTTTATCATTTCTCATGACACTGCATCATGTACCATGCCGCCTGCGAATAATGGTTTCCAGTGACTCTCTCAAAGATTGCTACCGTGTGTCCCCGATGATGGCTGCTCAGTCAGTCAGGGCCAACCAGAGACACGGAACCAGTAGGATATGTATGCATACTACAAGATTTGTTGCAAAGAACTGGCTTACATCATTATAGAGCCTGGCTATGGCTAGGCAAGTGTGAAATCCACAGAGGAGGCTGCCAGGAAGGGCAGGCTGGAACCTCCGGACACGAGCTAAGGCTGCTGTCCACACACAGAATTTCCTCTTCTTCAGTAAAGCCTCAGCTCTGCTCTTCGGCCTTTTAAGTGATTGGATGAGGCCCATCAGACTATCAAGGCTAAACTCCTTCACACAAAGTCAACTGCCTGTAGATGCGAAGTCCCTCTGCGATGCCTAGATTCGTGTTTGATTGAATAACTCAGGTCTAGAGTCTAGTTGAGTCGGCACGTAAAACTAACCATCACAACTACCAATGCAGGTCTTATCCAGAGTACGCCGGAAACCATGAACGAGCCTGCATGTTCTGGTCATGTCAAATTTACCGTTTAGAATTTTGTAGCACAGCATGCAACATGTCTTCCAACCCCGTCTTCCCCCGAACTCCCTAGGCTGTAGCCACCGCATTCCTGAACGTTGTGACTGCTTTGAGTGTTAACCACACCCTTTCCTTTCACACCGGTAGTCCGGCTAAGGTCCAAGAATGGTGGCTTAAGACTGACCTAAGAAAACATGGTTTCAGCACATCAATTGACGGGAAGGGAGGACCTTGGCTTTGTGGAACAGGAGTCTTGAAAGCCCTTGGAGAAGACAGGTGCAGCCAGTTCTGGAGGACTGCCTGAAAGGGAGCAGAGCCTGAAGGGGAGGTATGGCGGACGCTCCGGTGTCCAAACTAGGGGGTACACAGAGTGAAATATTCCTGCTGCCTTCAGGTGCTGCAGATGGGCAGCAACATAGTGAGAACCCGACTGGGTAAGAACCAACCCAGGGGCATGGGCACGTGGGTGAGGATGAGGCACGCACAGGTCCAAGTCAGGAGGGCTGCTGAACTGTCTGCAGCCCAGAGGACCGACACTGTCCTGCATCTGATGTGAGTGAGCATCATGTCAGGTCAGCAGCATCAGCACCATCTGGCAGCCCAATGCTGTGAGATAATATTTTCCAAAAAATTATTGTTTTATTTATCATTTTAATTTTTTAGAGACAAGGTCTGGCCGGAGTTTGGTGGCACAAATCACAGCTCAATGAAACCTTGAAATCCTGGGTTCTAGTGATCCTCCCACCTCAGCTTCCCGAGTAGCTGGAACTGCAGGCGCACACCATCACGGCCAGCTAAGTTTTGTATTTATTTTGTAGAGATGGTGTCCCTCTATGTTGCCCAGGCTGGTCTTGAACTCTTGTCCTCAAGCAATCCTCCCATCTTGGGCTCCCAAAATTCTGGGATTATGGGCAGGAGCCACCACGCCTGGCCAAGATTTCTTGACAGAAATACCATAGCTGCCAGTGGAACAGTGTGTGCATCAGGTGGACCTATGACCACTCCATAAACACAAGTCCTGGAGCTCCTCAGCACAGCAGGGCAACCTGTCCACGGAATAGAGGGCGAGAGAGCAGTCCAGAAAGGAGAAATGGGGACTGGGGCTCACATGGTCCTGGTCCATGTGATATCCCACTCAAATAGTCATGCTGGCCGGGCTTTTGGAATGCCTTGAGGAAGGCATTCCAAAACACACTCTGAGTGGGAACATCTTGGGGGGGCTGGGAGTGGAGGGGTGGCAGGGTGGTGCTAAGGCACAGGGATTGGAGCAAGGACCCCACTTACTTGTCAAGATCTGCATGTAATGCTGGGGGAATGAAATTATTGAGGATCACATGGCTGGCTGTTGGCGAACCTGTGCTGTCAGTGAGGTATGACCAAGAAGTTTATGACTAGTAATTGTTGAGGGGCTGAAGCTTGCAAATGCTTTACTAAAAAAGAAAATAGGACAGATTTATGGTAATTCCCATGATAACCCTACTCCTACTCACTTACACTAACGTGCTTTTCTGAGAGGCAGAGGAAAGGAGGGAACTGAAACTAGCCCACCAGGAACATAATATGGCTCCATCTGAGTCTGTTTTCTAGAGCTGGGGAAGGCAAGGATGGCCCATGAGGACCACTGGCCCAGAATGCCAGCATGCAGAGGGCACTAAGTACCGAAGCATCACTGAAACGTAACAAAGTGAAGAAGACAGCAGTTCCCAGAATTCCGAGAAGGCAAACCGTACGTAAGTGGTTCAGGGATGGAGGGGGAGGAGTGGTGACCCTGCTAAAAGACAAATGAAAAACCTAGAAGACAGCAGTCGTTGGTGAGGACAGAGAGCAACTCATGCTCTTCGACGTGCGGCTGGAGCGTAACTGAGTGCAGTCACTCTGGGCAGTTGTCTGGCAGCATCTGCTAATGATAAACATGTGCCTTCCCTATGATCAAACAATTTGTCGCTCCCTATTTCCATCCATGTCTAGTCTATATCCATCTCTCTGATAGAAATGTCTACATATGTTCACCAAAAGCTATTTCTAGATTGCTCACAGCGGCTCTATTCATAGTAGCAGGAACTGGAAACTCTCCAAATGCCCAGCACCAGTAGGATGAATAGATTGTGGGATATTTACACCCTGGAATACAATCAGCAAAGAGGATGAACACTCTTGAGCGACACAGAACAATGTGCATGAATCTCACTTGATGACAAGCAAAAGAAGTCAGACACAAAAGAGAACAACCTATATCATCTCATCCATAAAAAGAACACAAACTGGCAAAGCTAATCTCCGCCATTTGATGTCAAGATAGTGGTTATCCCTGGGAGGAGGCAGGGAGGGAACACGAGGGAGGATTCTGGAATGCTGGTAATGTTATCATTATTTTTAAAAATCTGAGTGCTGGTGACAAGGTGTGTTCAGTCTGTGGAAACACACTGAGTATTCATGATATGTGTAATTTTCCATGTGTAAGTTACATTTCAGCAACAAGTTAAAAGAAAAGAGGGAAGCTCCGTTCTTCCTCCTCTTAGTATTCACCTCCTCTAGGTAAAAATTGAACTAATATTTAAAGAATATTCGTTTGAAGGTGTGACAAATTATTAGCCTGTCCCGGACCCCTGCATGTTTCCCTCTGGCTGCTGTCTCACCCACTGGCCATCCTGCGTGTTGTGGGGGAAAGGTACCGGCTGGGGAACTGCTGTCTGAGATACGATTCCATCCCCGTTACAGCACGAAGAGCTGAATGCAGCGGGGGCTTACCCTTGACGTTTTTCTTTCCATGAACATTCCGCTCTTTCACAGGAAAGGAGTTTGATTCTTCCTTAGCAGCTAGCTGATACTCCAGAAACTGCAAAGGAAATGCCTGTGATTATCATTTTGGTCATGGTTCGACACCATAGCATGAGGTCCTGTTTCCTCCCCTCTTTTCCCTTACCTCTTCTTTGCCTCTTTCCTCCTTCTACCACTTTTCCTTCCTGTCTGCCTATGCCTTCAGTCCCAGGGATGTCCTGGAGAATTGTGGGAACACTGAGATGCTTAGTAGATCCAATGGCTCATCAAACAATCAGGCAAATCTGACTTTAAAATGTGACAATCTTGGCTGGGCACAGTGGCTCATGCCTGTAATCTCAGCACTTTGGGAGGCCAGGGTGGGCAGATCACTAGAGGTCAGGAGTTCAAGACCAGTCTGGCCAACATCCCTAAAAATACAAAAATTAGCCAGGCGTGGTGGCCTGTGCCTGTAGTCTCAGGTACTCGGGAGGCTGAGGCAGGAGAACTGCCTGAACCCAGGAGGCGGAGGTTGCGGTGAGCTGAGATCGCGCCATTGCACTCCAGCCTGGGTAACAAGCACAAAACTCCATCTCAAAAAAAAAAAAAAAAAAAAAAAGAAAACACCTAAAATGTGACCATCTCTTACCAAAGAATCTGCACAAACCATTTAGCTTTCCTTGACTTCAGTTTTCTCATGTGAGCAAAGGGAAAATAATTACATCTGTCTCACCCATTACCGGAGGACTAACTAAAATAAAGTAGCTGATGCCTGGCATGCAATACGTGCTTCGTGCATATCTGCCTCCCTGCATTCTACCAAGTTTTGTGGAGAAGTTTCTAACTGGTTGGGGCACAGATGCGTAACAGATGGTTGTTTTTCAATCTAGATTATCTGAAACTGTGCAGTGATGTTTTTGGTTTTCCATGATAGATTACCAACACCTAAAGCCATTTATGTAGCATCGGGAAAAGTGACTCAGCAAGCCAGAGGTAATCGATTACTACTGGAGATAGAGTTTATGACGAGGCCAAATGGATTCCCCACACGACCACCTGTGGGTAAGCCCGTCAGTGTGGCCGGAGGGTGGAAACTAGAAAAGAGGACTCAACGGAGTCGTTGGTTGTCCAAACAGCTTGGGAGATGAGGAGGGGTATTTCTCACAGGCCATGTCCACTGACAGCATTTACCCTCTCCTTATGCTATTTAAATGCTATTTCATTAATTCTGGATTTAATGAAAGTCCAGGCATTAGCAGAGAGAGCAAAAGCCCCAAGTTCTGAGATTTTATTCTCTCTTTGATCCCACTATAGTTCACTCCGTTGTTTCTAGATGATAAGGAAAGATGAGCTTTTTATAAACAGAAGGATGCAGAGGCTGTATCCATTCTTTTCAATCCTCAGACTTTTCTGTTTAAATTTTGAGAGGCCCCTAGTATCAATGGTGACTATTGTCCTGACTCAGATGCTCCAGATAGTTCCTGAAGGGCTCCATGTTGAAGCAGACCAAGAGGTTGACGGAGGAACAGCAGAGAGGCCGTGACAGAAGTATCACCAACTCCCAGCAAAAATCCAGCTCCCACCTGAGAGAAAAAGGACTGAGGGGACATGCATTACCTGAATGTTTGTCTTCTGTCTGACTTCTAGAGATACTTCGCTTAAGCCTCAGTTTCATTTCTTTTTCTGTGCTCAACAATCTCTGCTTTAACCTCTGCTGGTCCCTTTTGGCCACTGGGCTTCTAGAAGGCTTAGAGCTTTGACCTTCCTTGATTCCACCAAAAGCTTTACCTCTAGACCCCATGTCCCAGTCCGTGTCCTCACACCTGGCCCAACCTCGTCATAGCCCCTTAGGGAGTGAAGGAAGTGCTAGGAAGAGACCTAGAACTTACCCCAGATACTAACACTGAATAGGAGTTTCCCAAGAAGATGAGAACGGAAGGCACTGCAGGCAGAGAAATTAGCACTGGCAACAGTGTGGAGCCTGGAATTCGGATTACCTTTTCAGGAATTGTAACTTGGAATGACTGGGATGCATAACAAGGAGGAGAGTAAGCAAAGCTGGAGGGGATGCGGGGGGTGACCATTTATGGATGGTCTTGAATTCTAGGTTAAGGAGTTCTGGATCTAACCTCCCCCCCTCAGAGTTCTCCTGCAATAATATAATTTCCTCAGCAAAATCGCTCATGTTCGAGATGTGATATTTTGACACAGTAGCAGGAACTGCCCTTCTGCCGTCTTCCCTACAGACCCACGCAGATACTGTAATGCAAGCAGGATTATGCCACAGCCCTGCCCACCATAGCGCATCTCCAGTCTACAGGATTGTTGTTCCCTTTGCCTGGAGCTCAGGGCCGTGCAGGCTCTGTCTTTCTCGTTCTCCAGCTGCATACACCATTGTTTCCAGGTGGTGAAACACACTGGGAAAGTGGGGTTACACCACACACCGAAGCTGTGAAGACGAGCAAGATCAAACGTCAGTCTAGGTGGCGGGACTGATAAGCAAATGCGCTGCAAGCTTTGATGATTCCACGTGCACGGCGTCAGAAAAACGGGAGTACTTAACCGTTCCTTTAGCGGAAATTTTAAATATTGACTATTTGCAAAATAAATGGAGACACCCGGTCCTGGAGTCCTGACTGAGACTGAGGCTGGAGGCCCAGCCCGGACGGTACCAGCTGGGTGCCACTCACTCTCCCTGGGTCTCGTTTTCCACTTTTCCAAACGAGGAAAAGCACCCTTGCTCTACCCAACTCACAGAATGATTTTGCAAGATTTAGATGAGATAGTGCGCCCAAACCTCCACAAACTATGATGCCCTTTAGAAATATAAAAGCTTATTGAGGGTATTAATGGGCAGGCTCTGCCTCCAAGGAATCTGACCTAAGAAATGTGGAAACCCAGTTCCACTTTTGCCTGGGGTCATAGGGCTCTGGCTGGGCTCTGTTCAGATTTTTTTGTGCAAAATCACCATGGAAATGGAGATGTCACTAATGGGTGCATAATTTTGGCGCCACATCCAGAATGCCCCTGGACTCTTTTAGGAGTGGGCCAGCAGGGGGGTTGGCTCGTAACCCGTTTTGTTTGTGTTCCCCCAGGAGCCTCTGGATGAAGGTGGAACATGCAGAGTTCAGTATTGATCGTGTTTATGATTTAAACACTCAGAGAATAAGGAATTGACCACTTGGATGTGGTTTCCTGATGCTTTATGACAGATGTGGCCCAGGGACCTCTCCGCCAAGCCTGGGAAAATCATCCTCAGCTGTTAAACAGCTTAATCATTTCTCATCCTGGCATCCTCACTGGTCCACTGGCTCCTCCCTTCCTCCTCTCTTACCTACAAATGCTGACCCTTCCTGGGCTGCTGCCAAACGTAACCTGGATGCTGTGAGCCTCGGGCTGCTGGGCTACCGGGATCGGTGTCAAGAAGGGTAAAGGATCAATGTTTATGGCATGTCTCTTGAAGTACTAGCATGGTCATTTCATTACCAACTTGCAAAATAGGTACCACTGGTCCCATTTTATAGATGAGTAAGTTGAGGCTGATGGATAACTTGCTATGTGAGGGACCCAAGCCAGCCTAATGCTATACTTTTACACACTCTCACTTCATTGCCTCCAGAAGAGCTCAGAGGGGGACAGGAAGTATAACTGACACTGGGTTGGGAATAAATTGGAGCACTGGACGTGTGCACGGGGAGCCCACCAGGCTGTACTGCAGACGACTCAGTATGCAGTGGGCAGGAAGGAGGGCTGAACAGAGGAGCAGGCAGTTTTCTCCAAAGCTGCTTTACCACAAAAGCCATGAGCCTGAACATAAGTGAGTCTCCACGTCTATATCTGCCTCATCGACACACATCTTTGCAGGCTGCTGTGTGGAGTCTGTCGGTGCTTTCTTTTCTAGTTTAACCTGATTTTCTTGAAGATGGCAGAGCTGGATTTGTCCCTGGAGAGAGCCCGGACATGTTCAGGAGACCGCAAAAGAAGAGCTCGGCAGCCTGGTTCTCACTAAGTCAGGAAGAGGTCCCAGAGCTCTGGGTTCTCACTGGGCCACGTGCACCTGCCTCCTTCTAGGTGTCAGACACTTGCCGCTCGTGGGTATTCTGGCAGAGTTTGGCACCATTCTCTCACACCGAAGAGAGATCCTCATAGGTAGAGCATTGCAAGCTGCAGGCTGTGGCTCAGTTACGTTGCCATAGGACTGTACCAGTCACGATTTTTAGTTGCAGGCAGCAGCCAGCCCTGGCTGACTGAAGCAGAAGAGACTTTGATGGAAAGAGCACTGCGTGGCTGGGGAATCAGCAGGAATGCCGACAGAGGGGTTGGAGAATGAGCAGCCTGGAGCAGCACCGAGAATGCCACGGTGGAAGGGGTCGGGAGAAACTACTGCGCCAGCCATTGAATGTTGGGCACTACCACTGGCATCACTGTCACTCCTGTGCACAGACTTGAAGCTGCAGTAGCGAGAGAGAACTCCACCCTCCCTGCGTCTAGCCCAGGATGGCATGTGGTGGACAGGTCCCGTGTACAGCCTGCGCCTGGCCACAGAGGCTGCTGGGACACCAGTTTCTGCATTTTTGATACCTATGGTGGGAAGCAGCCACTGAAGACAATGAAGACTCATGAAGTGGGAGCTTCTCAAATGAAAAAGGAGTTCAAATACTGGGTGGCCCAATAGAACCATAAATATTCACTATTGTTGCCTTAGTTGAGATTGAGAAGCTGGGGGCAGTGTCAGGGAACTGATGCTATGTCTCTAACAGGTACTGAGTGATTACTCTCTGTGCTAACTACTCTAAATGCAGTATCTCATTTAGTCCTCCTCGCAAGCCTCTCAGGAAATTACTAATATTATACCCATTTTCCAAAGGAGACAGCTGGACTGGACAGGACTCTGGCGCATACCTAGCAGGCAGCTGAGCTGAGGTTCTGGCGTAGGCCGTCTGTCTTCTCAGACCGTGGTCACATTTCATGATTGAGGGCCGGTGAGGAACTTGAGGTAGACTTCTTGAGGTTAAAGCACTGTAATCAGCTGTCCCTAGGGCTTACCATTCCAATTATGCCACACGAACTTCAGTCTTT